TGTGTGTGTGTGTGTGTGTGTGTGTGTGGAGCACCATCAGAAAGGTAGAATTTCTGATGCTGGAGTGTTTCAGAAGTCCCATGAGAAACAGATGGAACAAAGTTGTCCTATTACCACAGACTTGCCTCAAAAAGCAGCCTTGGAAACCCTAGCACTGTTTTTGAAAGGTTTTAGGATTTGGGCATATAGAGGGTACATAAAAGTTAATGCCTAACTGATGGACAGGATCCATCTTCTCTTTCCTACATCAACTGCAATGACTGTGCAAATCAGGAATAGAGAAACAGGAAGATAAGCCAGTGAGCCAAAATCATTAATCAAGATCTACTTTTTCAACTTTAGCAGAAGCATGTCATCTGATGATAGTCAGAATCATAGACTTCTACTGAGTTCAAGGGCAACCTCATCTCTAATAAGGAGCTGGTTTCATCATGTCACAATTGAATGATCAGTTTTTTATGTTTTGTTTTTTAATCAAAACGGTTTCCAGACTCAGTCTGATGGTCTTCCTGCTGTATCTATATGGTCTCTTAGTTCCCCTCCTCACATACGCACATCAAAAGCCTTCCTTCTCCTAGTCTTGCTCCAGAACTGTAGCCTTGGGGTTAATTCATCTTGAATTAACCCATTAACCCAAGCTTCCAAAATATCCCTGTCTATATTCTTTACTAGCACTAGTCGAATTCCTTTGACTCTCCATACATTTGATGGATGCATGGCAGTCTACACTTTCAGCCTATGTGCATAATACATTGGGAGAGGGATGGAAATCACTAGGAAGAGTAAGTTTGGAGAATTCAGTGTGTCTTTTGTCTTCAGTATTCCATAATAATGGATTTGCTCTACTTAAACAGAGGAAGAATCAAATTGGCAGCAGTTTCTAGAAAGAGGATATTCCATTTTCATCATGAAAGAGTTCCTGTATAGACCACTTCTTAGCTTCAGAAATCTTGAAGACAGTTTTTCTGCATACTCAGAGCCAGGCATTTGCATCCACTGAAGCCTAATTTGTACTGTATATCTCATTCCTATATTGTCCTGAGCACCATAGAGAACTAAACCATTTACAAAGTATTTTCATATGCCTGTCTTTTTTTTTTTTAATTCTTTTATTGGTACATTGTAGGTATACAACACAATTACATTTCTCATTGGGAATTGTACCTTTACATAATGCATCTTGGTTCTTATTTTTTCCCCATTCCTAGCCCTCCCTTCACGCCCTCCACCCTTCCCTATTTACAAAGACTTTATTTCCATTTTTTCCATTTCTCATCATTTTTCCTTTCCCTTCTTTCCTTTCCCCTGCCCCTGCCCCTCCCACTACCCCTACCCTTTTGGACCTTTTCATATGCCTGTCTTTTTGTGTAAAGCCATTTGCAGCTGATGACAAGAGCTGCAGAATAACTAGTTAATCTGAAAATGACAGCACAGTGTATGGATAGTGCTATAAGTGAAAGAGGAAAAGCATTTAGCTTTGCACCATACTCTGGAGACCCAAGAAACAAAGAGTACTGCAGTTCCAGAGAGAGCTGAGATAATACCATCAGTGAATAAAAAGTAATCCATGCCCATAAAGAGAACATGTTTAAATGGGTGATAATGGGAAGTTGTGTGTGTGTGCACGTACACATGGGTGTATGTACAGGTGAGATGAGACAAAACCAAGATGTTTAAAAAAGAACCACAGCTAAATTCTGACCTTGGTAAGAAACCAAACAATGAGTGTTTCTTTAGTCAAAAGAAAGTATCATCACCACTGATTCATTTTGGGTACCTTAAGATATTGTTTGAGTACCTTAAGATATTGTTTGAGTACCTTAAGATACTGTTTAACCAGAAGTGAAGAAGTAGTGAGGGAAAGGGCAGGCATAGGGATGCAAAAAAGGGAAGGGGAAGGTACAAAGTCTAGAATTGCTCACACATAGTCCTAGGAAGGAGATAAGCCAGCAAGTAGAGGGCAAAATTAGTTGGGAAAAAAAAAAAAAAGAATGAAACATGACTTCTACTTCTGGAAATAGGGCAGATTAGATAGCCAGAAAACCTTCAACAGAAAATATAATTATTTTGTTGAGATAACGGAAAAGAGCCAAAGAACCAGAAGAATAAAAAAGACAATGGGGATGGAAGGTTAAGAAGCACACACACCCGAGAGACACACACCTAAGGACAGCTGCCAGTGTCATCGCCAATGTTGGTAGAATTGAGAAGCCAAGTCTTGGTTCAATGGAGAGAGTGAAGAACCGAATTTAAGACTCGAGTGTTCCTAGGTCTTGTTAGCTTTACCTGTCTGTGACAATACGTGTGAATAACAAAGGAGAAATAGTTTGTGTTGGCTCATGGTTTCAGTCCATGATTGGCTGGTTCCATTGTCATGAACCCAAGGTGAAGCAGACCATCATGGGAGAGGAAAACTTACCTCATGCCAGCCAGGAAGCAGAGAAAGGGAAAGCGCCAGAGAACCTGTGCTGTTTACGTCTTCATTCCACCCAGGGGAATGGTGCCACCCACCCTCAAGGCAGGTCTCCCCCATATCAGTTTGTTTTCTCAAATTTTTGAGAAAAGATAATTGATTAAATCAGTAAATACAGCTAGAGAAATAATAAACTGGAAAGCAAATTTGACAAAACCACTTAGGAGGTACCACAGAAAGAAGATGAAAGTTATAAAGATGTGTATGAGGGATTGAATTTTTTTCTCTAAAAAGCCAGGAAATAAGTATTTTAAGTATTTTTAAGCATAAGTATTTTATGCATTATGGCCCATAAGTTCTGTATCAAAGCTATTAAATATAAAAACCAGCCATAGGCCTCATGTAAATAAATGAACATGGTTGTTTCAATAAAATTTTATTTATAGATGGTAAAAATATTTTGAGGTAATTTTCACTTATCATGAAGTTACATACATTCTTATAGTGTTCATTTTTAAAAAATCATTTTTGTTTCATGGGCTATACAAAAGTGGTACACAGTGTCCCACCCAACATGGGAAGAGGAAGGAAGTTATTACTCCAAGCCTCACGAGAAAAAAAAGAAATCTGAAAGCCAACAGCTGCCCTTAGATCCACCACAGAAAAAAGATCCAGAAATAATATCCCGCTAGTAAACTGGAGAGACAAGTAAATATGAAGAATCACAGCTTACCAGAGCAAAAGTGGGCACTAGAACCAGCATCTGATAGGAAAACCTAAAGGGTGATTAATTAATTTTTGGAATCTGGGCATGGACTTACTTGAGAGACTATTTCTTGAAGATCCAGATTTAAGAGATACCCTCATGCTATTGTAAATTTCCTCTCCAGAAAGTAGTCCTACCAAGGTCTCAGGATGAAGATTTGAGGAAATTTCCATCATGAAGAAGTAACTGAGCATTCTTAGCTCAACAAAGGCCTGCTCACAGAAAAACTTGTACCAGAGCCTGATCCATGTGGAGGAATGAGATTACCTAAATCCAGCCCCACCTAAGGGAGAAAGAAAGAAAAGAAGGAAGGGTAGGAGGCAGGAAAGGGGAGGAAGGAAGAAAGGGAAGGACGAAAAGCTAAAGGGAGAAAGAAAACTAAAAGCTGAGAAGTTTGTGAAGGTCACAGTCCAGACACATTAAAAGACTGAAATCTAATAAATTATCAAATGCTTCCCTCCTTTCCCCGCACCCTGCCACCATATCAGTGAGCCTGCATGTATAATAGAGGATTAAAGAAAAAACTGTAAGCCTTGGACTATTTTTA